GTAGAGAGGAGCCTGTCTTAAAAAGCATTTTTAATGTGGCAATTGAGGCACAGAGTAAATACAAACCAGATTCATAGAAAACATTTAAAGTTTTTAAAGACTTTCTAGTGAAACTGCCTCCAAGCTGGACTTAAAGGGACTGAAACAATCCAGAATGAAAAGTGACACCTGGATTCTCTTCTCTAACTTCTATGAATAGTAATGAAGCTGATAAAGTTACTTAGCTATAAACACTGTCCATTTCTAATGGGAAAAGGAGATAAAAGAAGACCCAAGAACAATATATTAAAATGGACCAGGGAGCCATTTCCAGGTGAACTGTGACCTAATTAAAAAAAAAAAATCTGCCCCTGAAGCAGGAAGACCTGGAAACATTTGTTCTGTGGGATTTCAAGAATTGTTATGGAATAGATATGTGCCTCTTCTTTCTCCCCCTTTTCAATTGATGTATGTATTGTAGTTAATTCTGTGCCTATGTCACCATTATAGTTGTGTGTGTGTGTGTGTGTGTGTGTGTGTGTGTGTGTGTGTGTGTTGGAGGAGTTGTTCATATAACTTGTTATTTAGCTCACAGGTCTCTAGGTCAAGAAACTAAGAAGCTGCACTCCAGGAGCCTCAGCCACATCTGAACCTGATACAGAAGACTTGAGGTTCTGGATTTGACCATGGTTCCACAATTTGTGGGGAGGCACTTGGAGGTATTGGAATGGGGTGAACATATTGGTGCATGGTATAGAATGTAAATAAAATTATTTTTGACCAGAAAATAGACCATGTTAGCTAGAAAAATACTACATATTTCTTGCACCCCTTGTAATCTTTATTTTTCTTTGTGTTTTAGTTGGGATAATTTCTATCAACCTATCATCAAGTTCACTGATTTTAACCCCTGTCCTGGCTCTGTTAAGTCTACTGGATGAGTCTATTGAAGCCATTCTTCATATCATTCTTTTTAAAATATTTTTATTGATTTCAGAAATGGACAAGGAGAAATAGAAACATCAATGATGAGAGAGAGTCACTGATTGGCTTCCTTCTGCATGCCCACAACTGGAGATCAAGACCACAGCCCAGGCATGTGCCCTGAACTGGAATTAAACCATGACCTCCTGGTTCATAGATCGATGCTCAACCACTGATCCATGAGGATTGGGCAGTTTTTACATTTTTAAATGGTTGATAAATGAAGAGTAATGTTTCATGACATGTAAAAAATTATATGAAATTCACATTTCAATACAATAAAGTTCATTGGAACAGAGCCATAGATAGAAAGCAGGCTGAAAGCTGTCAGGGTGGGGTTGGTGGAGGGATTGAAAAAAATAAGAAAAAAGAAAAATATTCATGGACCAGGACAACAGTGTGGTGATTTCCCTGGGGGGCGGGAGGAGGTAGGGAGAGAGGTGGAGGAGGGTATGGGGAGGACAAATAGTGATGGACTTGATTTGGGGTGGTGAACACAAGTGTACAGATGATGTGTTGTAGAATTGTGCACTTGAAATCTGTAAAACTTGGTTAACCAGTGTCATCCCATTAAATTCAGTTAAAAAAAGGGCAGGGGCAGAGGACACTACAGCAGAAAAAAATGAACATTTAAAAAATGTATGTATTGGGAAAAATTGAAATGTAAAGAATAAATTTCCTTATGCCTCTTTGTTATCCAACCTCCCTCCCCAAACCCTTTCCCCATCCATAGGCAATCACTGATCTGTTTTGTGTTGTTATAGATTAGTTTGCATTTTCTGCAATTTTATATAAATGGAATTATACCATAGGCATTGTTGGTGGGTATTTTTTTCCTTCTTTCAGCATAATTATTTTGTGATTCATTTGTGATGTTACATGTACTTATATCCCTTTTAATTGCTAGGTGTTATTTCATTGCATAGATGAAATTTGTTTATCCATTCATGTGTTGGTAAAAAAAAAACTATATTGTTCCTAGTTTTTTGCTATTACAAATAAAACTGATATGAACATTTGTATACTAGTCTTTGTGTGGACATAGTTTCATTTCTCCTATGTAAATACCTAGGCATGAATGGTTTGGTCATATGGTGTGTATATATTTTTAAGTATATTTTTATTGATTTTTACAGAGAGGAAGGGAGAAGGATAGTTAGAAACATTGATGAAAAAGAAACATCCATCAGCTGCCTCCTGAACACCCCCTTCTGGGGATGTGCCCGCAACCAAGGTACATGCCCTTGACCAGAATAGAACCTGGGACCCTTGAGTCCACAGACCGACGCTCTTATCTACTGAGCCAAACCAGTAAGGGTGTGAGTATATATTTAAATATATAAGAAACTACCAAAGTGTTTTTGAGAGTGCTGTGTCCTTTTACATTCCCACCAGCAGTATGTAAGTGTCCACTCGCTTCATTTCTTTTCCCTTGTAATTTTAGCCATTTCAATAAGAGTGAAGTGGTATCCCACTGTGGTTTCAATTTATACTTTCCTAGGAACTAATGCTGTTGAGTTTCTTGTGCTAATTTGCCATCTGTATATCATCTTGATTGATGTATATTTTAAATTTTTTTTGCCTGTTCTTAAACTGGGCTATTTGTCTTATATGTGTCCCAGGAAATAGGAGTTCAAGATTAACCTTAAATGGCAACATCTGACTTGCCCCACCTCACTTCAGGATGATCTTTGATGGCCCTGATACCCCAGGAATATTCTTTATCAGCAGGAAAAAGAAATGTTTCATTTCTGGTGCCCTTGGGCATTCTCTCAGCAGACTGCACAAGGAGCAAGGAGGTTAACCTCACATTTCCCCCAAACTTCTCCCTAGAAAGACACTAAATAGTGTGGGGCAAAAGTAGGTTTACAGTTGTGAGTACACAAAACAGAATTTATCCTTGTATTATTGTATTTTTCATACAAACAACTGAGAACCTACTTTTGCCTCATGCTGTATGACATATCTGACTTAACATCGTTCATAAAAAAATGCACCCACAGCTTATTTTCTTACAGAATAATTTAGGAAATAAACAAAGCTTAGGAGAGCACAAGCAGTCTCAGGTCCAACCTGTTTTGTTAAATCCAAACACTGACCAGGCCCAGGTTTTAGATAGCTTGGGTTACCCAATTCCACCTCAGAAGGGAGAGGGATAGAGAGTTAGAAACATAAATGAGAGAGAAACACAGATCAGGCTCAGAAGCATCAGGGTCATAAAGACTGTCATGCACAAAGTAGGATTTCTTATTCTGGAGCACATGTGCTACATTATACAGTCTTTGGCCATGCCCATTTAGAACATGGCTCTCGATCTGTCCTCACCTTGGAAAATGCAGTCACTAGCAGCAGTGTGAACTGAGAGGCCAGCACTCAACTTCTCTGTAGATTTATGTTTTATATCTCTTGTTACACACACACACACACACACACACACACACACACACACACACAAAATAATTCAAATTATTTTGTTAAGATGTGGAAAGCCATTGACAGGCTTTAATACAGAATACTTTCACAGATGTCTCTATGTATACTAAATTAGAAATGTGTACCAGTCTCAATTATTTTAGGTTTACAGCGTGTGTGGTCCCAGCTTATCTGAGAATCACTTTATTTGCACTTCCGATTGGACATTGTTGTTCTGATTGTTCAAATTATTCACTCTAAAAAATTAAAACACCGTGAGCATATCTTCATTAAACGTTATGAAATCCTGTATCTAGAATCTGACTTCATTATAATAGTAATAGAGCAAACTGTGCTTTTTAAAAGTTTTATTTATCGAGTGAAAAAGTAGTACTTCCACACAGTACAATTTTCAAAAGTTATAAAAGGATATTCTGTTGCCTCCCTAACAATTCCATCCCCACAGCTACCCACTTCCCCTTCTCTTTCTCAGAGGCAATCATGGGTACCAGCTTCTTGTGTTACCTTTCCAGAGACAGTTTATCCATATACACTCAATACTTAGCATATGTTCTCCTTTTTATATACAAATGGTAGCACATTATACTCACTATTCTGCATCTTGCTTTTTCCACCTAATAATGTATGTTGGAGAGCATCCCACATCACTTCATAAATGGTATCCAAGTTCTCTTTATATATTTTATTCATTTTTTTCTACCTAAAAGTTTGCTGAATCAACATACCAGGATTTCAGGAACCAGACCCCTGATGTTGTCATATCTATAGCTTCCAACTTTTTGTTTTCACAACAGTGCATAAGTGAATACCTCTGTGTGTTCATCATTTTGTACTAGTATATAGATGAATATATACATTCCTAGAAGTGGAATTGCTGGAAAAGCCATGTACATTTGTGGTTTTGGTTACTTTGGAATCATTCCTCTTTAAATAAGTTTTTCCTGGACATGGTGTTTACTGGAGGTTCATGTGGGGGGGGGGGGAACAGGGCCACATCTCAGGCAGATCAGAGGTTCTCTTGCAACTGGGATTTTTTTCCATTTGATAAGTTCTTTCAGTCTTGGCTTCTATGGAGTCAGTAAATAGGGGAAGCTGTATGGTTCATCACAAACACTGCATTCTCTTGCCCCAGTCCCCACCAATTGCCCCTCTGATAAGTACAGACTAGTTTCTTCTAAGTATGACTTGTCTGAGCAATTCCTTATCAAGGCCCCTGCCTATCTCTCCTCAAAAGCCAAGTGGATCTAGGTAACATCCTACCTCCCACCTACCCATGCTCTGGGTTACTCCTGTTATGCTTGTATATGAACCTCTGCTAAGTGTCCCTGTAGCCTTGAGCATCCTTTGTCCTCAGAGATCTCCCAACATCTGCCTGTGGCAACCCTCTCGTCTGGGTTTCAGCTATCTCCTAATTGTATCAGACACAGAGATTACACTTATGTTTCTTTGCCTCCCTGTAGCTTTTGGAAAAAGACTGAGATTAAAAGAAAAGAAAAAGGCTGACTTTATCCCTATATTTAAACCAGAAGTCAGAACATACTTAAAAAATGTTAACTAACCAAACGTTTCTTCAGGGAACATAACAGACACTATTGATTTCTTTTCTAATGTGTAACGAGCTTTGAGTTCCGGGTGTGGCCTTTCCCATGGACTTTCTTTTCTGTATGTGTTCTCTGATGTACAATAAGGTTTGATTTTTGGGTAAAGGCTTTCCCACATTCTGGACACTTATAGGGTTTCTCTCCAGTGTGAGTTCTTTGGTGTACAGTGAATGTTGATTTTTCTCTAAAGGCTTTGCCACACTCAGTGCATGCATAAGGTTTCTCTCCTGTGTGTGTTCGCTGATGTATTATGAGCTGTGATTTCTGGCTAAAAGCTTTCCAACATACAGGACATTCATAGGGTTTCTCTCCTGTGTGAATTCTCTGATGTATAATAAGCTTTGACTTTTCTCTGAAGGCTTTGCCACATTCATTACACTTATAGGGTTTTTCTTCTGTATGAGTTCTTTGATGTATAATGAGATATGATTTCTGAGAAAATGCTTTTTCACATTCATTACATTCATATGGCTTCTCTCCTGTATGACCTCTCTGGTGTAGCATGAGATAGGATTTCTGAGAGAATGCTTTCTCACATTCATTACATTCAAAGGGTTTCTCTCCAGAATGGGTTCTTTGATGTACGCCAAGGTTTGACTTCTGGGTGAAGGTTTTCCCACACACATCACATTCATAAGGTTTCTCCCCTGTGTGAGTTCTCTGATGCACAATGAGAGTTGACTTCTCATTGAAAGACTTCCCACATTCAGTACATTTATGAGGTTTCTCTCCCGTATGAGTTCTATGATGTATAATAAGAGTTGACTTATCACTGAAAGTTTTCTTACACTCATTACATTCATGGGGTTTCTTTCCTGTATGGGTACTATGGTGTATAATTAGATCAAGCTTCTGTATGAAAGATTCCCCACATTTAGTGCATTCATAAGTTTTCTCTCCTGTGTGGGTTTTCTGGTGGACAATGAGATTTGACTTTTGAGTAAACGCTTTTCCACATTCATTACATTCATAGGGTTTCTCTCCTGTATGAGTCCTATAATGTATGATGACAGTGGACTTTTCTCTGAAAGCTTTTCCACATTCTGGACACTCAAAGGGTCGCTCTCCTGTATGAGTTCTCAGGTGAATAATGAGCTGAGATTTTTGACTAAAGGCTTTTTCACATTCAGTACATCCAAAGGGTTTCTCTCCCGTATGAGTTCTCCAATGCACAATGAGGTGTGACTTCTTACTGAAGGTTTTCCCACATGCACTACACTCAAAGGGTTTCTCTCCATTTTTGATTCTCTGGTGTAGACTAAGACCTTTCTTTCGCCTGAGGGTCTTCCCACACTCTTTATATCCATAAGTTTTCACTCCAGGAGTTGTTTTCTCATATTCATTATGGAATAATAATCTTGTACTTCCATTATCATGTCTCTTTCCTACAGAGCTTCTACTACATAAGTCTAAATTATCTAACATATTATTTCCAAATGACTCATGTTTATGGGGTCTGTGTATTGAAGCAACAAGGTTTGTACTCATATAAAGTATGTTTCCAAATTCAGTATAGTCATGGTCACTCTTAGTGGTAATTGTTTCCTTGTCAGGAAACCCAACTTGCATCAACAAACATTTATCTTCATCATCCTGATTCTGCCTCTCAATTTGTTCATGAAATTGGCAGGTTTCTTCTAGAAAAAAATAGAATAAACCATTTTTATACTTTAATATTATAGAATGGACCTTTATAAATTCCCTATCATATGAAAGCTGATACTATTATCTCATTTTTATCAGAGTTCCTGTAGAGAGAAACTTGACCATCAAATACTGCTCTTTTTTTCTTTAAATATATTTTATTTTTTTTACAGAGAGAGAGAGGGATAGAGAGTTAGAAACATAGAAGTGAGAGAAACATCCATCAGCTGCCTCCTGCACACCCCCCACTGGGGATGTGCCCATAACCAAGGTATATGCCTTGACCGGAATTGAACCTGGGACCCTTCAGTCCGCAGGCTGTTGCTCTATCCACTGAGCCAAACCGGTTTCGGCAAATACTACTCTTATAGTAAACACCCACCTACTATACCATGATGTACAACTCCTTGAAGCTCCCTTCTATTTGCTAGATGGAATGCTCTTTGATTTGCAACTTGTTCAATACACTTCATTACATCTTCAAAGTTACTCGCTTGAATTTTTGTTCCTTACCATTTTCAAATTTTTATATAATCAGACAACAAAATTCAATAGAAAAGGATTTCCTAATAGCCTCTCATCTATATTTCCTAATGACCATGATGAAAAGTCTTTATTCTCAATGGCACCAACATGATTATTTCAACTGATTCAAACCTCTATACACATTCAGCAGTCTCAGAATAACACTAACAATGCTACTGTAAAAAAAAAAAAAAAAAAAAAAAAAAAAATATATATATATATATATATATATATATATATATATATATATATATATATGGTGCCAGTTTAAAATGGAGCTGGAGCTGTTATCCAAGAGGAACTGCCTTGCAAGTTACTACTCAAACCTTTGGATGTTAAAGACAGGGCAAAAAACACACCCCTTTGGATTGGGCCTAAGGCAACACTGTATTTCAAACAACTGCTTGGAAAGATAATAAAAAAGCAGATATTATAACTATGGAACTGATAACTACCAAACTACTGGACTGAAAATTAAAAACATTGTTTAGAAATAGCATCACTGTGTTAGTTTACACCTATAGAAATTACTTCTTTCTACTGATATAATTGTTTCCCTTCCCTTTTTCATTACTACCTCTTGTCTTTGTCTCCTACCAGAACACTATTTGGGTTTCTGCTTGAAAATGCTTCCGGAGCCGAAACTGCTTTGGCTCAACAGTAGAATGTCTGTCTGTGGACTGAAAGGTCCCAGGTTCGATTCCGGTCAAGGGCATGTACATTGGTTGCGGGCACATCCCCGGTGGGGGGTGTGCAAGAGGCAGTTGGTCGATGTTTCTCTCTCATCGATGTTTCTAGCTCTCTATCTCTCTCCTTTCCTCTCTGTAAAAAAATCAATAAAATATATTAAAAATAGTTTAAAAAATAAAAGAAAATGCTTCCTGAATAACTGTTCTTCTTTTTAAGAACTTAAATATTTATTTTTCCATTACAGTTTACATTCAATATTATTTTGTATTTGTTTCCAATATAGAGGATAATGGTTAGCCAATCATATACTTTACAAAGTGTTCCCTTCCATATTTCCAGTACCCACTTGGCACCATACATAGTTATTCCAATATTATTGATTATATTTCCTATACTGTACTTTACATAACCATGACTATTTTGTAACTACCAATTTGTATTGAATAGCTATTTTTACCTCAAATAAATGCAGTTGCCTCTCACTTTGGCCTTTTATTTTTAGGTTAACACTATCACTAGATGTAATATTAATAAATTAAAAATGTTTAAGTCCAGAATTTGATTTGGAAATACCAACTTGAATATATGATGTATTTTCTCTTTAAAATATTTTTAAATTTTACATAGTTTCTAAAGGTTTAGAAACCATTCCCTAACATCTAAATTGTGGTCTCACAACATTTACCATGAAAAAGAAATGGGGGCTTCATAGGAGAAGTGTCTGATTTCAGGTGGGAGGAAGGAAATATATAAAATGATCCTGGAACATCTTATAACATCAGAAAGCAAGGAATCTACCAAAGACTCAGAAGCCAACTTGAAGGAGTTTCCATTGGCTAGTTAATTAATGGAGGTGGGGTAAGGGAAAGTTCTTTTAGAAGAGTGCCAACATACAAATATAGAAGAAATGATAGAAAAGTCATCATTTTCAACCATCTCAGTAATAATTTATTTAGGCAAGAATCATCAGGGAATTCTAAAATCACTGAATAAAACATTTTTGAGGAACAGGATATTTACACAGTTTGGCAGTTCCACAAAAGTTAAACACACAGTTATCACACTGTTCAACAACGCCACTCCTATGTATATACTCTAAAGAAATGAAAACATACGTCACTTCCAAAACTTAAACATTAATGTTCATAGAACCATTAAAGTGGAAACAACCTAAATGTCCCAACAAATGAAAAATAAAATGTGGTATATCCATATCCATATAATGGAATATCATTCTGACATAAATGAAGTACAGGCACATGCTACAATATGGATGGACAACCCCTGAAAACATGCCAAGAAGTGAAAGAAACCAGACATAAAAGGCCATATTTTATATGGTTCCATTTATATGAAATGTCCAGAATAGGAAAAACCATAGACAGAAAGTAGATTAGTAGTTGCCAGAGGATAGGAAGGGAATGGAGAGTGACTAATAAGAGCTAGGGGTTTCTTTTTGGGGTGATGATAATGTTCTAAAAGTGATGGCTACAGCTCTGGCCCATGTGGCTAAATTGGTTGGGTGTTGTCCCGTACACCAAAAGGTTGCTAGTTTGATTCCAGGTTAGGGTACATGCCTGGGTTTCCAGTGGGGATGTGCAGGAGTCCCCCCCCCTCTCTCCTCTCTCTCTCTCTCAAAAAATGAAATAAAATAAAAATAAAAGAGATAGTTGCAGAACTCTGTGAATGTACTAAAAAGTTACTGAATTTGTGTACCTCAGTGTGAATTTTATGGTATGTGAATTATATCTCAATAAAGTTCTTTTTAAAAAGAGATAATCAAGACCTAGCTGGTTTGGCTCAGTGGACAGAGTTCCAGCCTGAGGGCTAAAGGGTCCTGGGTTCAATTCTGGTCAAAGGCACATGCCCAGGTTGCAGGCTCAATCCCCAGTATGGGGATATACAGGAGGCAGCTGATCCATGATTCTCTCTCATCATGGATGCTTCTATCTCTCTCTCCATCTCCCTTCCTCTCTGAAATCAATAAAAATATTTTTTTAAAAGAGATAATCTAGATGTTTTAGGAGAATAAATCTGAGAGGAATATCTAAGCTTAATGGAATCAGATAATTCAATCTGAAATTGCAGCACTAGCCTAGGCCTGTGACTAATGTGTCTTTAGATAAGACGGTGAAAAATGAGAATGGTACAAGTACAGAACAGGAGATTGGCATATACAAGACACTTATATATGGGGAAAGGAGCTGTACAGAAACTTGTGAGTGAGCACCAACTTAAGGAGAGTGGTCTGGTGGGTGTGGGACAGAGGAGTGATATCAGTCTTATGTCTGTGGTTTTCATATCCCTGTCCTCAAACAATAACCAAGGGCCACAACCTTTCCCCAGCTACCCCTGAAAGCCCTTTCAGAGGTCCTCAGCCCTGACTGACAAGCTGGACCTCCTGTCCCCATAGCCTGGGTCAATCCCACTTACCTGGAAAGCTCCAAATTGGGATTTTTCCTTCTGCCAGGCATGGCTCTTCTACATCCAAATTGAGGATGAGATCTGGTTTAGTAGCCTGCTGTCCTGCTAATGAGAAATGACAACAACACCTCCTTGGTCTTCAGAGCCTTGAGAAAGAGGAAGGTGAAGTCTGGGGCAGCACAAGGGACTTATCGCTTGACACAATAGTTAAGTTAAATCATTTCGCCTGGGTTTTGAGTTCACAAATACCTTGTCAGGAGAGCAAAGAGAGAAAAAGGTATTCTGATCCCTGGGATTTAGTGTCAAACTTTTCTAACAGTTCAGAGACTTTGCAAGTTCCCGACACTGAGAAAATAAATACCCTTTATTAGACACAGTAATCATAAATGGCAAGATTACCCAAGGAAGTCATCCTTACCCACTGAGACCAGGTTGCTGTAGGTCTCCAGCATCACCTCCTTGTACAGGATCCTCTGTGGAGAATTCAGATACTGCCACTCCTCCTGAGTGAAATCCACAGCTACATCCTCAAATGTCAGGAGTCCCTGTAATTGCACATTCATTTTATTCTGAAATGCTGATCACTGGGTGATGAGGACAGAATTTAGGGAAACTTCTGTTTGAGTACCCAGTTCATGATGATGACTTAATACAGGATGACTTAATACATATCAATTAAGTGATCTACTTTGTGGGAAATATCTCTCTATAGTTAGAATTGGTATTATTCTTACTATGAGTGAGGTGAAAATAACGTCAGATTGAAAAAAATTTAAAAGCATGACAACATACTCTATTAGTGCAACCATGTAGAAATAGGCTCTATCATACAAGGCTGGTAGGAGTGTAAATAGTACAAGAGGAAATTTGGCAATATCTAACAAAACTACAATTGTATTTACCATTTGATCCAGCAATGTCACTTGTAGGAATTTAAATAGAAGATATATTTAAACAAAAAGGAAGCAACATATGCACATGTTTCATTGCAGCATTATTCTTAATTGCAAAATACTGGAAATAATAAAAATTCTCACATACATGGGAGAATGGTTAAACAAACTGATACATCCACTAACATAGGGATAGGGAATGTCCAGCTCACAAGCCACATAAGTCCCAAGAAATCCTTTGGTCTGGCCCTGCCAAAGCATTAGGGGAGAGTTAATTAAATGTTTGACCAATTACAGCAGCTAATTTTTAAGTTGATAATATTGTATGGCTCAAGAATGGTGTTATAAATATCAAAATGGCCCTAGGCAGAAAAAAAGCTTCCCAATCCCTGATCTAAATAGAGAGACATACTGTGTTCATGGATTGGAAGCCACAATTGACAATAAAGATCAATTCTCCCCAAACTGATCTACAAATTTGAATCAATTCCTGTAAAAACCCTAGCAAGATAATATTTTAGATATGTAACAAGATTATTCTAAAGTTTTTATAGAAAGACAAAGGCAAAGGAACAAGAATAGCTGAACAATTCTAGGGGGGGGGGATTTGATCAAGTTAGTGAAATCATATTTGATTTTAAGGCTGTATGGTACTATTAGATATATAGATCGATATAAAGAATATAGTCCATGCCGAAGCTGGTTTGGCTCAGTGGTAGGGCGTCGATCTGCAGACTGAAAGGTCCCAGGTTCAATTCCAGTCAAGGGCATGTACATTGGTTGCGGGCACATCCCTGGTAGAGGGTGTGCAGGAGGCAGCTGGTCGATGTTTCTATCTCATTGACGTTTCTAGCTCTCTATCTCTCTCCTTTCCTCTCTGTAAAAAAATCAACAAAATATATATTTTTTAAAAAGATTATAGTTCAGAAATAGACCCCATTAATATGGCCAATTGATATTTACAAACTATAAAAGCAATTCAATGGAGAAAAACAGTTCTTTCAACAATCAAGGTTAGAACAAATGGGAATTCATATCCAAAATAATGAACCTTGACCTAAACCTCACACCTTATATAAAATTAATGCAAAATGGATCACAGGTCTAAATGTAAAACATAAAACTACAGAACCTAAAGAATATGAAAAATATTCATGACCTAAGGTTCAGCAAATAGTTCTTAGACATGATGCCAAAATTACATCCATAAAAGAAATAATTTATAAATTAGACATTTTCAAAATTAAAAATTCTTGCTCTGTGAACAACAGTTAACAGAATGAAAACACAAGCTACACACTTGAAGAAAATATTTACAGACCATGTATCTAACAAAGCACTTGTACACAGAATATATAAACACTCAAAACTGAAAAAGGTGAAAGGAGTTGTAACTACAGATAGTTACAAAATAGTTATAGAGATGTAAAGTACAGCATAGGAAATATAGTCAATAATACCGTAATAACTATTTCTGGTGCCAGTTGGTACTGGAAATATCAAGGGGGTACAGTCTGTAAAGTGTCTGATAGTCTAACCACTATGTTGTATACCTGAACCTAATCCTATCTATTAAAGAGGGAATATGCAAATTGACCATCACACCATCACACCATCACAAAGATGGTGGCACCCACAGTGGAGGCTGGGTTTCCATAACACAAGATGGCTGCACCCACAGCAGAGGTGGGGTTTCCATAACACAAGATGGCTACACCCACAGCGAAGGCAGAGTTCCTGTAACGAGTCTTAATGAGCAATCAGCAGGGAACTGAGACTGCATGGCGCTGGACCGGGGCAGAGGACCTGAGCCTGTGCAATCCCACTTTGTGGGGATTGACAGGGGACCTGAGGCCACACACCCCCTGCCATGGTGCCAGGCTGGGGTACTTCAGGCTGTGCCACCCACCCAGCAGGGCTTGACAGAGGACCTCAGGCTGTGTCTCCTGTCTGGCAGGGCTTGATGGGGGAATTCATCTGTAATAATAATAATAATAAAAGATCCTGATAGCTGCAACAAACCTGAGAAAGAACAAAGTAGGTGGGATCTCAATACCAGATATTAAGCTGTATTAGAAAGCCACTGTTCTCAAAACAGCCTGGTATTGGCACAAGAACAGACATATAAATCAATAAAATAGAATAGAAAATCCAGAAATCGACCCAAGCCACTATGCTCAGTTAATATTTGACAAAGGAGGCATGAACATACAATAGAGTCAAGACAGTCTCTTCAACAAATGGTGTTGGGAAAATTGGACAGGTACATGCAAAAAAAAATGAAACTAGACCACCAACTTACACCATACACAAAAATAAACTCAAAATGGATACAGGACTTAAACATAAGATGGGAAACCATAAAAACACTAGGGGAATACACAGGCAGCAAAATCTCAGACATATGCCAAAGCAATACCTTCACTGATACAGCACCTAGGACAATGGAAACTAAGAAGAAAATAAATAAATGGGACTACATCAAAATAAAAAGCTTTTGCACAGCAAAAGAAACCATCAGCAAAACAAGAAGGCCCACTGAATGGGAAAATATATTTGCCAATGTTATCACTGATAAGGGTTTAATCTCCAACATTTATAGGGAATTCATACAACTTAACAAAAGGAAGGTAAACAACCCAATGAAAAAATGAGCAACAGACCTAAATAGATACTTTTCGAAAGAAGACAGAAGGAAGACCAAGAGACATATGAAAACATGCTTGAAGTCATTAATTATCCGAGGGATGCAAATCAAAACGACAATGCGATACCATCTCACACCTGTCAGAAAGGCTATCATCAAAAAATCAACAAACATCAAGTGCTGGCAAAGATGCAGAAAAAAAGGAATTCTCTTGCACTGCTGGTGGGAATGCAGACTGGTGCAGTCACTGTGGAAAACAGTATGGAGTTTCCTCAAAAAAACTAAAAATGGAACTCCCGTTTGACCCAGTGATCCCACTTCTAGGAATATATCCCAAGACTCTAGAAACACCAATCAGAAAGTATATATGCACCCTATGTTCATAGCAGCACAATTTTCCATAGATAAGATTGGAAATAGCCTAAGTGCCCATCCGCAGATGAGTAGATTAGAAAACTGTGGTCCATCTACACAATGGAATAGTATGCTGCGCTAAAAAAGAAGGAATTCTTACCATTTGCAACAGCATGGATGGAACTGGAGAGCATTGTGCTAAGTGAAATAAGCCAGTCAGAGAAAGATAAATATCCCATGATCTCACTCATTTATGGAATATAATGAACAACACAAACAGATTCAGAGACAGAGAAGCATCGATCAGACTGTCAAACCTCAGAGGGAAGGTGAGGGAAGGTGGGAGTAAGGGGGAGAGATCAACTAAAGGAATTATATTCATGCATATAAGCCTAACCAGTGGATACAGACACCAGGGGGTGAGGGCATGAGTGGGGAGTTGGGGGGAAAGGGGAGATAAGAATACATATGTAATACCTTAATAAAAAAATAAAATGGTAAAATAAATAAATAAAATTATATGTTTCAGGGGTACAATTCTATAATACATAATCTGTATATTGTAGTGTGTGTTTACCACCCAAAGTCAAGTCTCCTTCCATCTCCATTTATCACATCTTACCCCCTTCAACTTCCCCCATTCCTCTTCCCCTCTGGTAATCACCATACTGTGGTCTCTGTCTATGAGTATTTGGGGTTTTGTTTGTTTGTTTGTTTAATCCTTTCACCTTTTTCTCCCATTCTCCAATCTCTCTCCCCATCTGACAGCTGTCAGTGTGTTCACTATATCCATGAGTGTTTCTATTTTGTTTGTTTAAAAAATAAATTAGAGTGAAAGGGAAAAGGTGGTGGACTATGGGTGTCTATAGGACTTTGTCTCTTAGCCAAATGAGCATCAAAATTGGTACTGAGAAAATTACTTCAGGAAAATTTTTGAAAGACAAGCAGTTCCCTAAGATATTTCATTTCCAAATTACATTTTTACATTAGGTCTCCACCTCACTGAGGAATACTATAAGAAATATCTGTAGCAGGGACTGCATTTTTCACCAGGCTATGGTAGAAGACAATTCCACTTTCCACAGGAAGACCCAGCATAGAAACATCTTGACAGGCAATTGAAGAACCTTTTCTTTCCTGAGAACTTGGTGTGCTCTCCCCATTATAAGCAAGGTGAGCCAGGTTCCTGGTTGTGCTTCCTTCCCTTTGGCTGCCAGAGGCTCAAAGAGCAATTTGCTACTCAGCATTAGTATCTGTTACACCCTAACTCATCCACATGTCTACATGGGCCTTGCTGCCGCTGCTCATCTTCCCCGATCCTAATGCTTATTTACAAATAATTTCCTACTTTATGTCAGAGATTCCTACATAGCTCACCACATCTATGATAAACAGAGGAAGGAACAGACAAGTCTTACCTGGGCTTCCGCCATTTCCTGCTCTTGTTGGGAAAAGGCAGATGTGTTAGCTGGAAGAGTGGAGAAGTGCAGAGCATATGAGAGACTACACCAGGCTTCCAGGGTCCAGAATTATCTGCCTAGAAATCCCCTCACACCAGACAGACATGAGGCTGTGAAAGTTTGGGCAACCATGTGGTTTTACAAACCACCTGTGTATTCTTGCCTCTTTTCCTTCCTCATATCAATATTTAACACAAAAGATTTTTTCTACGTATACTTATGTACTGACCCAGAAATTGTATTTCTAGGTATTTTCCTTAATGAAATAATGTATCATAATTTCTCTGTAAGTACCTTCATCTCAGCATTGACTTTAACAATGCCAAATTTAAACTATCTTATATGACCCATAATATGGAATTGATAAAGAAAATACAAGAGATAAAAATAACGTTGTATGGAACTGTACATTATTATCTGTGTACTTTTTATTGAGGCAACATTGGTTAACCACATTATGTTTCAGATGTGCAACATTATAATTCGACAACTGTATATACTACATAGTGTTCACCCATCTGTGTGTGTATATATATATATATATATATATATATATATATATATATTAAGTTTTTTAAGTGTATAGAATAAATATTTAAGCTGAATCACAGTAAACTTCTAAATAAGAAAAAGTAGGTTATAAAATTGCAGGAACTCATTTTAAAACTGTATGTTAAATGTTTTAAAACACATACTCCTGCAGGGCTGCTGTGGCTCAGTGACTGAACATCAACCTATGAACCAGGAGGTCATGGTTTGATTCCCAGAAAGGGCACATGCCCGGGCTGCAGGTTCAGTCGCCAGTGGGGAGGCATGCAGAAGGCAGCTGACCAATGATTCACTCTCATCATCGATGTGTCTATCTCTGTCTCCCTCTCCCTTCCTCTCTGAAATCAATAAAAATATTTATTTTAAATGCATACTCCTTAATACACACTAAAAAAAAATGCCTAAGAATGGGCACTTAAATATAGGGGCATAAAATTAGTTCCTAAGATTATTTCTTCTATCTTCTAATTAATCTATAAGTTAAATGCATTACTTAAAAAGTACATTAAATAAATAAATATGTTACTTATCTGTTAACCACCAAGAAAACAACTTTTTAAAGCATTACCCCATGACATTAGCCCCAACCCCCCCCCCCCATTCTCCCCCTTCAGATCCTGCAACCTCAGGCCTCGTCCACCCATGCCAAGCCCCAGGCTCTGAGCGGACCTTAGGCAAGTGAGTCCTCTCAGGTGCCTTCTTCCTTCTCCTCACCTCACTGGGGCCGTCTTGCCCAGGAGCCAGAAGGAAGCCTTCGGGTGCAGAGTCACTTCAGCTGGAACATTGGCACCAGGCCCCTACCTTGGGGCTTGGACAAGGGGACAGGGACAGAGGGAGAGACTGAGCATGCCTAAGGAGGGGCCTGAAGGGTGCTATGAACCCCTAACGCAGGTCACTGTGCTGGAAAATGTGTAAAAGTCAACGTTTAATAAGCGCCATTCAACCCTGACTAGCCCCATAACTTTGCCCACCAAAGACCCTCATTCACTGACCTCTCTGTCCTCTTTCATTCACCCCACAACCTCCTACATCAAAGACCTACACAAATACCCCTTTGCTAGTCCTCCAGAACTCCCCATCACTGAGCCCATCATCCCTAAGCACTCGCGCCCTCATTCTCTGTCTTTCTCTGTCTCAACAACATTTTTCTGTTTGCTGCAGAGGAGACTGTTACAAGAACTAGCCCCAAGCGACACTTCCGCTTCGGAACTAACTCGGGCTCCCCAGCCTACAGGGCTGCAGAGCGGTGTATGTGTGTGTGCGCGCGCGCGCACGCTCAGTCAGAGCTGGAGCCTGAGTCCACCAATAGCCAACAAGCTGCCTCTCCCGCCGTCCAAAGCAAGCGCGCAGGCGCAGAGGGAAAATGGCCATGCTGTGACATCACTCCAATAAGATGGCCACGCCCACCGCGTCTCCACCCCAGGTGGGTGGCGGCATTGAGCAGATGTTTACTTTGTCCTGCCGAGGCCGCCATTCCTAAAACTTCCAAGACCAATTTTCTTATGGCCGAGAGATGCAGTACCCAATGAACGAAAGCTCTAGCAGGCAGATTTTTGGTGTCTTGTACTTTGGAGGGCAGCATCAGGTTTGTAGGAGTCATAAAACAGAATAGCATGGAGGGCACAGTGTATGAGGTATGAAAATGCCGTTGGCTCCATCCAGTGGCTAGGGCTGGGAATTGACAGTCAAGCGTTTCAAGGCAAACCAGAAGCTGAAAAATAAACGGAGATGTAGGACACACAACACACACACACACACACACACACACACACACACACACACAGAAGGAACTCCTTTAAGGTTGATAGGGGTTGATGTGCAGTGATTGCCAGTGATACAGCTCCTCAGCAACTGTCCTAGGGCTCACAGTGCACATCCACAAGCTATGTGAGGCCAACTTTTCTGCTGCAGACCTAAGATCCCCCCACCCCCATTCTCTGTCCTGGGCATCCTCTACCATCAATGCCTATAAGCGAGACCTCCTCATATAATGGCCTAAACAGCAAGTAGCTAGGTGAAGTGATGTGGAAAGCTGACAGCTGGTCCCAGCATAGAGTCTGCACATGTGACACTCCCACCCAAAGGCCCTCTACCTCGCTAATGAGTCATCACTACAGTTGCTCTTAAGATATATTTTATCAAAACAATGAAAGTGTTGTCAATCATGAGCAGTCATTTTGGACCATGAGGTATTGCTCAATCTCGGGTGGCTGAACGCCACTTGTCCCTCTAAGAAGTTGTAGAGTTTATATGAATACTAAGAATTACAGTGTGAATGAATGATGATTTATGAGGCACAATATGAATAAAGAAAAGTGAATTTGAGGGGGAAGGTAGGAGTGAATGGAGGCATTGTGGGGCATAGAGCAAAGAATGGGGTGCACAAGGGGCAGAATAAGATGAATCCATGGTACAGTGTGAAACATGAACCAGGTTTATTTTGAGTGGGGATACTGTGAGGGGAAGGAGAGTGGTGAAAAGTGAATGAGAGGCAGGCTGGGATTAGATAGTGGCAATGCATGGCAGTTTTCCAGGGATCCCAGTCTGAATCAGCCCAGATGGATGAGATGAAGTGTGTGCGTGAATGGAGATAATGCTGAGCAGGGTGAGATGAGAGGGGATGTAAGTAAAGGTCAGAGGAAGGTAAGTAACTGGATGTTGTGAGGCAAAGCAAGAGGGGATGAAGGTCCATTCACATGGCCCAAAGTGAGTAAGGTGGGGAAAATTGGACCCAATGTAAACAAAAAGTAGTAAATTCAAGACAGAGTGTGACTGAATTGGGGGTACTGTAGGGCAGAGTGGGAGCAACTTGAATCAGGAGTAAATGGGAATGATGGGTGGAAATAGGGGTTACACTGGGAGTGAATTTGTATGAATGAGATAATAAAAGGCTGAGTGAGAGTAAATGGAGGAAATGAAGCGAAAATTGAGAAAGAATGGAGGAGACCGAGCATAGAGTAATTATACATAGGTAACTTGAGTTAGTGTTTAAGAGTAATAAGAGGCACAGATCACCGATACCGGTTTGGCTCAGTGGATAGAGCGTCGGCCTGCGGACTGAAAGATTCCGGATTTGATTTCGGTCAAGGGCATGTACCTTGGTTGCAGGCAGATCCCCAGTGGGGGGGGGGGGTGCAGGAGGCAGCTGATCTATGTTTCTAATTCTCTATCTCCCTTCCTCTCTGTAAAAAATCAATAAAATATATTGCCGAGACCAGTTTGACTCAATGGATAGAGGATCGGCCTGCGGACTGAAAGGTCCCGGGTTCAATTCCATTCAAGGGCATGTACCTTGGTTGTGGGCACATCCCCAGTGGGGGGTGTGCAAGAGGCAGCTGATCAATAATTCTCTCTCATTGATGTTTCTAACTCTCTATTCCTTTTCCTTCCTCTCTGTAAAAAAATCAATAAAATATTTTTTTTAAAGAGGCATAGGTCCATGAACTAGTGGTTACTAGTATATGGGGATAGAATTAAAGAGAACAGAGGTGAAGATGGTACAGAGAGAGAATAAGGGAGAAAATGAAGTCCAGAGGCAATGAACAAAGTTGAAAGATGGGCCATGTGAGAGAGAATAGGACTTGTCTGATACAGGGTCAGGAAGTGGAGGTAAAAGTAGGAAAGAGTGAATGGAGGTGAAGAAATATGATGTGAAAAAATTTGGTTAATGATAAGTAGAGGGTTAGGGAATTGCATAATATGAGGTCCGGTGTACCCTAGCTGGTTTTGCTCAGTGGATAGAGAGTCGGCTGGCAGACTGAAGGGTCCAGGGTTCAATTCCAGTCAAAGGCATATACCTCGGTTGTAGGATAAATTCCTAACTCTGGTCAGGGCGTGTGCAGGAGGCAACCAATCAGTGTGTCTCTCTCACATCAATGTTTCTTTCTGTCTCTCCCTGTCCCTTCCACTCTCTTAAAAAAATCCAATGGAAAAATACCCTCAGGTGAGGATTAACCAAAAATAAAAATAAAAAATGTAGCCCAGTGTGAATGAGTGAATGAATGGATGTGAGGCAATGTAAGTGAATGAGTAATAAAAGGTAGAATGAGAATGGAAGTGAAAAAGCAGTGGTGGGTATACATGTAATATGTAACATAAAATAAATATATAACATGGGGCAAAGTGTGATGAAATGATGGTAACATGAGGGAATATTCCAATAAATTAGGGTGGAACAGGTTCTGAGAATGAGTAAATGGAGGTAATGGGGGCAGAGAGTGAGGGTATGATGGTCATATTTTACAAACAATCATGAATCTGAGGTGGTAGTAGGCACAGTGTAGGTAATAGAGCTTACTACTTAGCAGATTTGGGGGGGGTGGAGGTAATGGGGGGCAGAGTGAGTGAAAAAGGAGGTAAGCAAGTGCTAGAGAATGATTAACAGTAGATTGGGACAGTGATAAGAAATATAGGGAAATGTGGGC